ATCTATGGTAACCGCGGTTAACTATGACATACGGACGTTGAACATCTCAGTCCTGCCCGTGACCATGAGTGCTGTAAAGCGTTCGAAACGTCGGGTAATTAAAAAGTTAAATATACGCGATAAATTCCGTAAAAACTATTATTATTTCAATGTGTAGTGTTCGCGTAAATATAAGAAATCATTAATTAAACGCGATAAAATCTGTAAATAATAGTTTTATTCAATTTTTACTTTTTATTAAAAGCTTACTTGTTTAGTGTTGTCTAGTGTTTAGTGGTCTATGTAATATCACAAGTAGAATATCGTTTACTTAACTACATTAATAGCTATTATATAAAATATATAATAGCTATTAATAGGTATACCTTATTTTTCCATCGTTAAGGTTAAGTTAATATTTTCTTGAAACTTATACGGGATCATCCTTGAAGAGTACATGTATATATGTACGAGCACATGTTCAAACGAAGTCCAGCCCCAGCCCGAAAAAGTTTTGCCAAATCAAGAATATATGTACTAACAAATAATCTCTGAAAATAGAAGCAAGATGACGTGAACAAAGTAAGGTAGGGATAGGAAAGTAATCGATAGTTGAAAACGATTGTCAAATCAATATTTAATAATCTGAAAAAGCGTGCAAGTCATTTCCCGAACAATGAAAGGACTACTTGTTAAACTTAATTTATATAAAATATACGCATATATATAACATCTATATCTTCAAACAATGTGACGAAATAATGATCTATTTTATTAAAGAGAATCGTATTAATCAGAACAGCCGTATCCAAGAAATCGGTGTTCAGACATAAAAAATATACGCAAACATAAAAAAAAACTTACTCGTCGAATATAAAACATCCTCATTATTTTGACCTTGATTACAAATTAACATTTATTAAATGCATTTTAGATTTTTAAAGATGTTTGCACATCCTACACATCGCACGTGAATACGTGGTAGAGCCATGCTGCAGTTATATTAGTAGTATAGTTGTAGCACGAATGGGTCGGCTCGACCGGGGAAGGACCACGCTCTCACAGAATACCAGCGTGAAATAGTAGCTTAATGCTGCTGTATTTCGTATGCTGAGTGTAGAGAACCGGAGACCCTTTTTACTGGAAACGAGGCATTCCATCTCAGTCCTCACGGGTGACAACGCATCTGCATTTTGATTTTTAATGGAGGATAGATGATTCTATGGGCCGCAGCAACCACTTACCATCAGGTGGACTGTGTGCTCGTTTGTCACCCTATTCTATAAAAAGAAATAGTTCGCAATGTGAAGCAAAATGTTCGCAATGAGAAACAAAAAGTTCGCAATGTGAAGCAATATTTACAGTTAGGACAATTATATAAATATTTATATAATTGTCTTGTCAAATTCCACTAAATCAACTCTTATCCTTAACTTCCTAATACAGTCAAAATCTATAAACTATGTAATGTGCAGGAAGTATCACAGTCATTGGTTACATAGAGATTTTAGTCTAGTAATTAGATTCTAGTAGTAAGGTCTAGTTGGTTAAAACATTAGTTGGTTAGAACAAATTAACCAACTACACTTAATACTTATATTTTGATCGACAGTAGGTTAGAAAACGATGTTCGAAGCATGAAGAGATCACAAATAGGCGCACATCAATAACTAGTGATAGTAATAGGTAAAAAAATCTTTCAATATGATTTATTTATGATCAAAAAGTTTTCTATTATATTGTGTACAAATATTAGTTACGTCTGGTATTTGAACGGGCTTTTGAATTACCTACTCAGATATTTCGTCTTGAATAATCTGCACAGTCGTCGTAATAACGTTTTTCGCGTATTCAAATTATAACAAAACATTTTTTTGGAACTCAACCTACCTGATAACGGATTCTAGACTAAGGATAAATTTAAGATCGATTACCTCATTGAAGGTAGGATTTACTAAGTCTTATGTTGGCTATCAGAATAAGTTGTGATTAATGATCGGAACTGTACGTACACTAAATATTGCAATTAGGTGTCGATTTATAATTGACGCGTAATTTCAGTGATTTGATATGTACATAATAAAACAAATGTGATATTATTATATAATGTAAAACTATTAATAATTATTCCATTAAATATATAAAAATTATTTTAATATATATATATATATATATATAATTATTTATGAAACATGAAGTAAAAAATAAAGTTACAACGTATAATATGTCTCACTGGTGGACTCAGGCCGCCTCTCACGTGTGAGTGGGTTATGGAGCAGATAGTCCAATATGTTGCTCCAGTGTGTAGGTATTGGTGGATTTCACATACCCTCAGATTATTATTAGCTTTTAGCCATGCAGGTTAACTCACAATGTTTTCCTTCACCGCCAAGTACCTACATAGTAAATCAATACTAAAAATTGCAATAAAAATTTTCGTATTGTGAAATTCACTGCGAGCATCTAGCTACTGAGCTACCACGGCTTAATATATTATTTTAAAAATGTTTTCTTACTATGCTAATAAAAATTAACCAAATAACGTCTCTCAAGAAACTGGGGGCAACTTTTATTATTTTCGCTAGCTCCAGCACTAATACGTATCGTATTTTACACACATTGTTAAAATGGGACAACGGAAGTCCAGTGAGGGGATACAGCTAAAATCGTTTTCTTTATTAAAGTTCAGGTTTGTGGTATGTGCGTAGTCAATGTTATAACTTAGATGTCCCACAGGAAATAAGAAAAAAATATTCGCCTAACATAATATGGATTAAGTTTTCTTGTTTAGGTTTTGCGGAAGTAAGTCACAGATTGCTTTCTGTATTAAACGGTTCTTACTCTCACAAGTAACACAAAATAAAATATATTTAAATGTTTTACATTCTTACTAGAAATATGAATACGTCAGACATAGCTTTGAACATTTTAACAATTTCTTTAAATTTATTGTAAAATCTATCTAATATATATAGTCAGTTTATACTAATACAGACAGAACAGTACTACACACACATTTACACACACACATACACACACACAAATCTGTAGTACTAAAAAAGTTAAGAGCAATTTTTGCTTTCCGATCACTTTTGTAAGGGGGGTAAGGGACTGAATCTCCTTAATACAGGCTATTTATTAGTCTAGCAAGGAGAACAGAACGTCACCCTCACTAGTATTTTTGTAATGTATCTCATGTAAGATTTTTTTATATGTACTACAAGTTAAAGTTTTTAATAAATTATTATTATTATTATTTTGGGTTATTGATAAAGTAATCACACCTGGTTGAGCCGGATAAATACAAAAAAGAAAAAAAATACTTAAATATATATTTACTATACTAACATAAATAAATAAATAATACATAAATAAATAAAAGCCCAACCAGATGGAAGCCCTTGGCTGGGGAGACCAAACGGCCGAGGGTTAGGGGGAAAGGGAAAGAAACCAGCGGACGATGCGGGCGGTATCGAGGAGCACTGACTTCTGCATTTGAGCCCGGAACGGTCCGTCACGGAGTCGCAGTCGCCTCAGATGGCCCGAGAGGCTCGCTGGGATTAACCCGTTTGCAAACACGACTCCAGGAATAATTTCGGTCGGCAGACCACCCCACATGTCGGTCACCTCGTGAGCCAGGTCCAGATATTTTGATAGCTTATCTGTTTCGGCTTTCACGAGGTTCTCGTCATACGGAATGGTAATGTCGACCAAAAATATCCTTGACTGTGCCCGATCCATCAGAACAATATCAGGCTTATTCGCAAGAATAGTCCTGTCAGTGATGATGGCCCGGTCCCAACAGAGTCTGGCGCGATCATTTTCGAGCACGGCTTCCGGGAAGTACTTGTAATACGGCAATTTCCGATCCACGAGACCGTATTTCAGAGCGAGCTCCTGGTGAAAAATTCTGGCTACTAGGTTGTGCCTGTGCAAGTTAGAAAGCGCCGAACAACCGGAGATGATATGCCTAAGTGACTCACCGGGATGGCGACAAGCTCGACAAATGTCGATGGTGCCATCCTTTAGGATGTATCTCCGATAGTTGTTGATCTTAATAACCTGATCCTGTATTGCACAGACAAAACCCTCGGTTTCCCCAAAGAGGTCACTGAAACGTAGCCAGTTGCGGGAGGCGACTGTATCTACTAAGGGCTCATGTAGAGCCCTGTAGTACCTCCCGTGGAGCTCCTTCTCCTTCCATATGCATTCTGATTGCAACGAATGCATTTGATTATGCATTGCAATTGATGTTTAGCAATTCCATAAGATGGGAGCGACTGGAGGCGAATAACTTGAGGTCATCCATATAGAAAAGGTGGGTCACTTTTGTACCTCCTTTCAGAAGCTTAAATCTCCTCCCGGAGCCCTCTAGTAAAGTACTGAGAGGGTTTAGAGAGAGGCAAATCCAGATTGGACTCAGACAATCGCCCTGGAAGATACCCCTTCTTATCCTTATGTGGTTCTCCGCAGCCATCATCCGCTCGCCCAGATAGCAAAGGATCGTACTCCACTGCCCCATACACTGCTTGAGAAAGTCTCCAACTGTACAGTCAATCTTGTACAGCTGTAGGACTCTCTTTAGCCATGTATGGGGCACCGAGTCGAATGCCTTTCTGTAGTCTGTCCAGGCGGCGGAGAAGTTCCGACGGTTGCGTTTCACCACTTTGCCAATGACCGCGCCAATGAGTAGTGGTTCCTTGGTTCCACGACCACCACCCCGACATCCATTTTGAGCGCGTGACATCACCTGATTTAGCTCCAGGCGACGAGCGATTCTCGCGCTCAAAATGGATGTCAGTGTCTTATATATCGTGGGTAGACACGTGATGGGGCGGTATTTGCTCGGATCTGTGGTATCCTGATCTTTATGAACCAAGTGAGTGATCCCAGTAGTGTAGAGGCTCGGGAGCGACTTCTGATCGAGAGCCTCTTGAAACTGTCGGGCGAGCACAGCGTGACACACTACGAACCCCTTCAGCCAGTAATGATGCAGCCCGTCAAGCCCCGGACTTTTCCAG